GGTAAGAACAACATATTCACGAGGCTGTATCGGATTTTATTCCGCGGGTAAATCCTCGAATCTCAACGGGCCCGTCTTCGCGTCTTTCGCCCTCTCGCGATTCGTCCCGCTGTGACGGTCCTCAACCTTCCGCTTCCTCCTCCCCATCCCGTGTCGTCCACGTGCTTTCACTCCGCCAAGAGAAGTTTCGGGAGTTACGGTGACTGTTCGTAAGCCGACGGAGACGATGACGGTCCCGGCACGTCTTTTTACTGGCGAAGGTCATTTCGTCGAAGAAACGTGGATGGCAGGGTTGTGGCCCACCCCTAGCCTCCTACTTCGTTCCATTTCTTTCCACCTTCCGCTTCTCGTTTTCCTGCCACGTCTCGCTGGAGCTCGTCCGTATTCAAATGTTCGTCGGAGACGTACGGAGGCGGACGAGAACCGAATTACCTGCTCTGAATTGGAGACCGGTGAAGAGAGGTGGAGGGTGACTCGTTGTTACGGAACGAGGCGAGAAGAAAGTAGGACGCCTAGAGAGGAGAGAAGACTCCTCTTTTTATTTCTTTTCACGAGATCTAGTATCACGCGGTTAAAAATTTCATCGAAATACCAAGCCGATACTGCATCTGATAACTTTAATTTAATGTACTGAGAAAGAGACACAGTGGTAGCAACTATATAGGTGACAAATATATAAGTTTTGTGTAGAATTAATGTACATAGTAGTTGAATAAACTATTTTATGGTTACAATAATTAAAAAAGATAATATGATTGGAAATGGGATCGTTTATATTAAAACTTGAAATACGAAGCGCCTTACCGTCCCGAGTGTTAAGATGTTGAACTACTATATAATGTACATTCATTTAAATTGAATTAATTTTTCAGAAATTTTTTAAGATTTGGGAAATTTTGGGGGGATTATCAGATTGATTGTGTGTGAATCGGATAATTTCATCGGCTCGCAATTTAATTCTGAAAAATTAATTTAATTTAAATGAATGTATATCATATAGTAGTTCAACATCTTAACACTCCGGACGGTAAGGCGCTTCGTAATTTAAATTATAAAAGAGTTTATTCAATTATGTGTATTCTACGAATAAAACTTTTGTCACCTACATAATTTATATCTACATATAGTTGCCATCACTGTTGTTTTTTCCTGAATATATGACAAACAAAATTAGAAAGGAATAATGGTTTGCTGAAGTATCTAAAAATTTAGCTAGATAGAAAATTTTTTGTGGCATTGTCGTCAATGTTTAAACATTTTACATAATTATTTTAGTATTTTATATAATTGTTTTTTGAGATGACAAAAAACCGGCAAAATTATTTTCAGTTTTTCTGTTAACATATCATCAAATATTGGAAGAGTATACATATAAAGAAAAGAAGCTTTTTTTAAATCGTTCTAACTGTTAATGATACAATGAAGTTTTAAAGGAGTGCGCTTGGAGATTTTTTTGAGGAAAGTGTCGTGTGCCGTACGAATGATAAGATTACGGAAGAAGATAAGTTGGCGGAGAGATAAAACGTTCTTTGTACATTGGACTTATAATTAGGAGGTATTTTAAGTAGCGCGATGAAATCTTACCGAGATCTCGAAAAAAGAAACAAAAAAATATGATAACGTTGCATTTGCAGTATAATTAAAACTGATAGCAATAAGCCACATTCTGTATCGCGGTAATAATATAATATAAATCAACAAATAGTAATCAATGCAATTGATATAATTAACGTATTACTTCTCGAAAGTTATTATTCACCGGATCGTAATAAAGCCGGTGGCTTTCTTAATGCGCGACTGTCGTATGCATATAATAGGGAAACATACGGGGTTGTGCAACATCTTATAACTGCTGCGCCATTAACGACGCCACGATCATTGTAATATACGTTTAGTTTAGTTTAGCACATGAGGGTGGTTGCGAACCAACGTGCGATCGACCCTTCGCGTGCCAGCCGAGGGTGCATAATTTATCGCCACGTCCCGACCACCGTAATGCAATACGTTACACGCTTGGCATGCATGTGGACTTCGCGTAGGTTATCGATGCTCCCTCAATGTCCAAGGGGTATAACTAACTACCTATAAATAGCACGATCATGTATCGGCATTCATTGCCCGACATCTCCCCATTTCGAATGATACCTTCTATTTCGTAATATGATAACACGTAGAGCGATACGAAGGTATCACTATATTTTCACACCTCTGCTTTTATATTCGATGCGAATATAATTATTTTTATCTAAATAAGAATGGTATCACTTTTACTCTTTCGCAACCGTTTGAAGATAATTTATTTCTATATTTTCTTATGTATTTTTCTTCATGGAATTGAAGAAAATTATCATAGTGATGCTACACTTAAAGAAAAAATAGTACATATTTGAAATAAAGGGTAAAATTTATATTGTTAAGAAATTGCTCTCAGTTATACGTCAATCATTTCAAAACTAATTTAGAGTTGGATTAACAATTCAAGGAAACAGTTAGTAGATACATAGTGTATGTGTGTGTGTGTGTGTGTGTATGAAATAAAGTTAATAAAACCTTATTCACATCGTTACGAAATCGTTATCTCAATTATACTTCAATCATTTGTTGAGCCAACTCTGAATTAGTTTATTTGTTGAGCCACTCTGAATTAGTTTTTAAATGTTTGAAGCATAACTGAGACAGCGATT